TTTTAGAATCTTTTAAACGTGATATTCGTCATCAGGAGCTCAAGTTGTACTAGTCCTGTTACTCTCGAACAATCCGGATAAAGTCGGTGTAAAGCCTGGTACGCTCTCGAAAGAATCACCCTATAGTAATTGATAGTAATAGTTGAATTTTCAACATCCTTAGAAGATTTGTGATTCTTATAGATTGAATGCACTAATTCAGCTAAGTAATGGACTGTTGAGTGTTTTTTCCTGACTCCACTTCGGAAATTAGAGAGTAGTTTATTTTCAGATAAATATTTATAAAGTCTTTTATAAGCCACTCGCTCTAAAAGCTTTTACAAGGCTGGTGATAACGTTATTGGACGATAATTGTCAGGGACTGTATGATCTCAGCTTTTAAATAGAGCGTTGATATAACCAGTTTCAAAAGTAATCGGAAAACACCCCTTTCTAACGAGCTACGACAGATATACGCTGTGCAATTATTAGAGCTGATTCAAGCAATAAGCGATTGTTTACTCCAGGTACAGATGCCTTATTAACATCCAGTTTAGCAAGATCTTCGACCTCTTGTGCAGAAACATGAAAAATATCTAGCATAGTCTTGGCTAAAGGAAGAGAGTCAGTCGTTTGGAACATTAGCGGTATAAGGAAAGGGGCATTGTACAAATAGCAACAACATCAACAGTACAATAAGCAACATATCTGTTCAAAATATTGATTTTCTATTCAGCATCATAACTTAAATAAGGTTCTGATAGGAAGCTCAGAAAACTGCAATTCAATCGAATTAGCCATCCGTAGGTAGCAGCTTCCACCAGTACAATTTAATTCGATCAATAGTATCCTATTTAGCTTTGGCTCATGCACAAATAAAAAATTTTTGGGCCCCTTTATAGCGCTGCCTGGATAGATCTGATTTTTATATTTTATATCTACGATATAATTTGTTTTTCATCTTGTATAGAACATGTCATCAGGTCGCCGACGCATTGCATGTCGCTAGTTTATCGGAATGTGTCAAATTAGACAACGTAGCGGCTGTTAAAGGATAGAAACTAGCACTTATATCTCACAAAACCAAGTACGAACTCTCAGAAATTCCCAGGACCCAGGTGTATGAAAAAAGAAATATCTATGCACTTCTAACTCAACTAAAATTATGAACTTTCGAAGATTTTGCTGTTCTACGATACGAGAGTAGCTAACTTTCATAGTGCATAGATGGGCACTTACAACGTGCTTGATTTTAAGACAAAAGGAGTATTAAAAAGAATAAAAAACATTTTTCAAGACTAGTAACAGCTGCTGCGCTTTAATCCGTTCAATATTTTTAATCTCCAGCAATTCCGATAAAGTCATTTTCTAAACGTATTTTTTATGGTTGGCGACCTGATGAATGCAATGAATGTGTGAACGATAGATGATGATTAGCACATGTTTTTATTATTTTGTTAGCTATACAAATTCTCAGCTGTTTCATGTATACTCCTCATGTAAATATTTTCGAATCGGAAACGCGTTTTTTTCTGCGTTTAATCGCTGCAAATATGTACCATTTGGTGCTATCTAGACGCGTCATATTGTGACGCATTTTATTTAGATGCGTCTAGGTAGTACAAACATGCACCATTTGACGCTATCTAGACGAGCTTTTTTTTATTTTTTCAAACACTTCTAAGTTGAATTTCGTTCGATAAGACAACATGATTAAAATATTGCCAACTGTCGTTAATGTTGTAACAAAAAACATAGTTTCAAGATTAGAGTCATCAAAATCAGTTAATCTTTTGACTAAAACATCATTGTGGAGATAAATTAAACATCCATCATTTCTCGCTTCTCCATCTAAACGATATTGTGTATAATTTGGGATAGACGTTTCACTGATCACAGACTTTTTTATCAAGCTATGACTCAACAATAGCTACTACAATTAGATTAATAAAGACTAGAATATACTTATTTTTAAGAGTGTGTAGTGAGCCCTTTTTGAAGTTAATAGAGATTAGTTCAGCCTTCTTGATCTAGACCATCTATGAAGATGTAAAACATCTCATTTAGAACATAAATGTTTGTCTACATTCTTCAATACTTAAGTTCCGTTACAGTAGCAATAAACTGCAGGGATGCATCACACTCTTGGGATCTTCCTCGTCAAAACCTCCTACTAGGAAGTCAAAGGTATCGGATATCTTTTAAGAGGATCCTTCTAAAACTCTTCATTTTGCCTTAAAGGCATATTTTCTTTCACGTGCTGCCCGTTTAAGAAGCGTAATTTAATGGCTCAAACGAAAAGAAATGCATTACAGATATGAAAAAACAAAAAAACAAAATTTTCACATAGACACAGTATGATGCACATAAATGCAAGTTATCACGTAAAAGAAATTGCTTTATCTGGCGGTCATTTTCGAAAAAATATTGATAATTATTGCATTCTCTTGTCTTTATTTCTAAAGTAAATGACAATATATCGCAGTAAGCAACAGAAACGGTGAGAGTTTGCTGTTGTATCAGATGTGCCATTCGGTAACAAGTATAATTACTTGCAGAAGTTGTTTTGACCAATTACCGACGGAAAACTAATAGAGAGGGTGTATTCTCACTATTCAGTTGGTGTATTTGACAGATGAATAAAGCTAAGGTAAACGTTGAATGTAACATGATGGTTAGATGGCCCTAGCCCTTCATAGTTTTACTATAGAAGGCTCTATTTTACCTGGATTTCTCTAAAAATCAAACGTTCATTATACACTAAAAAGCGATCATCATCCAAAATGCTTCATAAATTCAAGAGATACTCTATTCTATCTGTACTTTACCATGTACTTCTGTGGAAAATTTAAAAAAATAACAGAAGGTGCCTTGACTTCTGAGAGACACTTCTGAAAACCTCTTGAGGTAGAAGGAATGTAACTGTTATGCTACATTTAACGTTTACTTCAACTTCAGAACCCACCTTAGGTGTCAACTACACCAACTGAATAGCAAGGATGCATGCTCTCTATTGTTTTTTCTTCAACAATTAGTCGAAACAACATCTGCAGGTAATATACTTCGTAATGGATTGAAATTTTTAGCTCAACAGATTAACACTGATTTACTTACAGTGATTTTTTAATACATAGCGGATAGTGTATAACAAGTTCGTCGACCATTGAGTAGATCTGTTTTAATTTAATGTACAAAAATATATGAATAATTAGTAAAACCATTACACTACAAAGATAAAAATAATACAGTTTATCAATTGTGAGAGCTATATAGAAGTCTGGAAAGTATTAAAGGGGTTGTCATATTAGAAGACTCTTCCTAAATTTGCAAATGGAACAGAAACTCAGAATGTGCTGAAGAACATGCTTTTTTTCGGACACAATACAAGACCTGTCTAAAAGTTTTAACGTTCAGAACGGATTAGAAGATCTAATGTGACAACTCCTTTAAGGGATCCCCCTCAGAAATTATCTCCGACACCGTACATCCGACCTTGACAAATGTTAGGCACAATGAGTTACGGAAATAAAAGATTTTTTTGTCTCGAAGTCTTACCGTTTAGGAGTTTTCAAAAGATCAAGGTTCAAAAAGAACCCTGAAGTGTTTTCCAAGATTTTTTAATATACTTCAAGCTGGAGAGTTTGGGTTTGCTTTATTTTATACTGAACACCTAACTACATGGACTGAAAGGCGCCGATTTTTTAATTAAGCCTTTATTGGTTTTCCAGGTAACCAACAACCTTCAAACCCGAAAAAACCTTCCGGATTTTCTAAAAATCCTCTATTTGACAAAAAACTAGGACCTAATTCAAAAATCGATTTGTGTCAGTCCATGTAGTTTCTTTTCCTCTTTCTTCAAACAAAAAAAGAACGAATTCTCTACGACAAACCGCTATTAAAAATCTTGGGACACACTTCAGGTGGAACTTCCATGTAGAGAACACGCTGTATTAAACGCTGTATAAAATGCTCAGTTTTAGGACTTCTAGGAAAATGCTTCTAACATTTTGATGCAAGGTCATACAGAGTTGTGCGAGGTCTTATTTTGATTAGGAACGTTTGTTTTACAAATATGTGTGTTCAGAAATATTTTAATTGCATAAGTATTCAGGAAAAATCTATTATTTAAAGACCTGGTGTTTCGAGGCTCCTAGAAAACTTGCTCAAATTCCACGAAAAACCACTTTTGTAACCAAAAGCGACACAGATCATGAAAATTGACAATTCAGACTATCTTTCCATGTGCGTATCTCAAAACCGATTTTTTGACCGAAAATCACCATTTCTGACGGGGGGAGGGGGCTCAATATAAACCATATTTTTTACATTCGTAATTCAATGCAGAAATGCTCGCCTATCCCTGTTAGTATTTAAGCTATTAACGTACGTGATAATGCATAAATACATAGTATTGTCCTTTCGAAATATTGCCTGTAATTGTGAACTCCATGGAATTTTCTCAATATCGTCTAAAATAAATGACATTTCTTTCTTAAAAAGAAAATCGTTAGTACATGAATATATATATATACCACGAGGACTTGAAATTACGATCGTTGGTGGTACCAATTCAAAGCGGCTTAGTCGTCTTCCTTGCGGTGGGGCTGAAACAAAATTTAATTGATTACTGTCCATTAATCAACTGCTTTTATTTTCTAAGAATATAAAAATGAGCTAACTGAAAGTATTCACATACACTTTCATTAATAAATTTCACTTTTCGCATATGATCGTCTAAACGTAATCTGGTTCTATTCATCACAAATTATTTAAAGAACTAACTTTTTTTCAATACGGTTCAGTTATTTTGACGTATTACCTGTTACCAATTCATTTACCAAACTAATTCTACTATCTGAAAAAAAAATTTAGCCTATAAGAGAACATGGTTCTTGACGGAGTGTGGTGGCACTTACCTAAATCTTGAAGCGAAACTTGTACAGCTGCTATAGCATGCTTTTCGATAACAGCTAAAGATAATTCAAATACTGTGAGATATAGAAATGGACGATGAGCTTATACTCACATTTCATAAATCCAAGAACACTTTTCAAATATCGTACTTCTGCTGTAATTCTTAGACTTGAGCTACTAACAGATGTTTGTACAAGACAATAACGGAGTAAAACATAGAACGCATCACCAAATTTGACACCGGCATTATATATTTCATTATCAACAATATAATAGGAATGTTTCCTCTCATTACGGATTATCTAAGACAAATATTATAATTAAAGCGGTTAAAACTAACTGTGATAAATCCGAACTGAAAAACTAAGATCAAAAAAATTCTTACTTGTTTTTCTGTACTGGATATTGTACTATTTCCTAACACTGAAACAAACGGTATTTTTGATGTCACTACTCGTTCACGATTATTTGTCACTGAATTTAATGTCCACTCGGTTGCGTGATCATCTAAACATAAAAAATGTCTCTAATAAGTTCAACAAAGTGCTTATTTACTTTCACTCACTATATATTCTTTGTGCTGCTCGATACGTTCTAACGAATTCATTATTTCCAAAAATTAAATCAAATAATTTTTCCACAGATAGATGATAGGTTTGTTCCACTAACTGTTTCTGTAGATGTGTTTCACATGGACATTTTGTCAGATAACAGTTACTCGCGGGAGGTGACGATGGCATACAATTATCTTTGTCATCACTCTCACTTGAATGTCGTCGGCGAATTTTGGCTAATGGTGATACACGTTTCTTTTTGCGAACGTATGGTTCGTGTAACGCAATAGCAAATATTTCTGGTGGAACGCTCCCATCAGGATTCGATGAATCATGATTCGGTTGCTGAAACGACAAAGAAATAATGGTAAATTATATCACTCATATGGTCTGATTGCGTCATGTTGTGTTAGAATAACTATTAGTTGTAGCTAATGGAACATCTGAACCACTGAATTAGCTTGATACTCGATCCTCATCCTAGCTAGACAAATGAGGGGAGTTACTAATTGATATATTTAAGAAATCTCCGTATTTCACATAAAACCGTGACAACAACGATCGAAGGCAACAAACTTAAGTATTTTACAGAGAAATATATCGAGTTTCAGAGCAGAGCAATCATGTTTCTCCCTCACCCTCACCCATCAAATCACAAATCTCAAACTTAAACTAAATAAGATCCTTTCTATAGTTTTTACTACTGACTATTGTTTCGCTCAGGTTTCACGATAATAGTTAAAAATAACATACTCTTAAATTTTTATCGCCATTTCGTCTTTTTGAAACAGGCATTCTAATAATTGAGTGTTCTTAAACGTACTTTTATTCTTATTTATTAAAAATAAAATAATTTTGACTTGTGCACACACTTTAATACGTAAGATGATGATGATGATGATGTTGTTTTTTGCCAACATCTATAGGCAAGGTAACGAAGAAAAAGTCACCTTTTTTCTTCACGTTTCACCGGTAACCAGCACATACAGAACAAACTTTTTAACGGAAAAGTATATTAAAGAAAATGAAGTTTTTGATTTTATTAAGTATGAAGAATGTGTTAGACAACATTACATGTTGTAAAGAGAAAATTTTGTTGTTCACTCAACGCTCATATTACGCTGTTTGAGCTGACAACATACTTAAAGGTATCTTCTTCTCCCTGTTTTATCACCCTGTCGGTATAGGTAGAGGCAAAAGTCTAATTGTATCCAAATTTGTACCAAATATCACTAGTTAACGATCAGCTCACTTTGAAAAGCTGAATCAACTAGGCAGTTCTATCAGAACTGAATCAAAGTCGGAATCAGCTCCGAAAAACCTAAAAATTACTTTGCACAATAAAAGTTCTTCAGCTTTGCTTCTTACAAATCCAGAATTGAATATCCTTATCAATACTTTCAGAGCTGACTCAAGCGATTACATGATGACGAGGACTTAGCGAATGTGCTTAATAGTAATTGAAATATCTTCCTACTCATAACAACACTTCTTAAATATTTATAATTGTCGAAATTTTTCTCAAAGTTTAGAAATCTTTGCTATTTATATGAAGTTTTTTCTTCTAATAACTAATCCATATCCCACTGGAACTTTTAGAAATAATTAGAAATTAATGGAAACTAATTAAAAAAAGTCTCATATTAAATTAGTTCACATTAATTTTCTTCTAATTAAAAATCAACCTCAATTAATTTAACTTAATAAATTAATTGAATTTTAAACACTTTGAATTAGTTTATCAAGTTAAATTAATTCAGATTGATTTTTAATTAGAAAAAAATTAATGTGAACTAATTTAATATGAGACTTTTTTAAATTAGTTCGCATTAATTTCTAATTATTTCTAAAAGTTTCAATAGATAGCTGGAAAATTTGACAGAAATCAGCTCTGAAATTTCGTAAATTGTCTTTTGCAGAAAAATTCAGCTCTGATTCCGTTATCAGATTCAGAGCTGAATAAGTTCCTTAGAATATCTATCGCTGAATCAGAAGATACATTTTAATCAAGTCTGATTCAGTCCTGATAAAACTTGCATAGCTGATTTAGTTTTTCAGACCGTGCTGATCGCCGACTAATGATAGACCATCGAAAAACAGAGTTGTTCTATTTTTTCTTTATCAAACTAATTATGAGAAAATATTTCAAAGGCATGAGAATGAAAGAAAAATTGACAAAATTAAAAAACCTGAGTTTTTTCAACATCTTGAATAAAATGAATTGTTAATTTTATTTTCAGATGAAAATCAATGTTTAAGTTCAACATTTTGAGATCGGCTCTAGATAGACTTATCTTTGAAAAACTTGTTTATTGATCATTTTTAAGCGCAGAAATTTTTCTATCTTTCTATAATTAAGTTCTTGTTAAGAATTTTTGAAAATCATGCGAAAAACTTGGCAATACATGATGAATACCGTTGACTGAGCATGTAATACATAATTGTAAGAGATATTCCTCAGCAGTTTTGAAAGTTTAAACAGTAAGCATAATAAAAACAACAGTAATAATTTTCATTTTATTGAAAGACTTTGTAATTAAATTAAAACCTTTTTTCTTTGCATGCATCATAATTAGCAAATGTAACCATCTAGGACACGTTCTGTATTTATTCTTGAAAATGAACTTTTAAAGTTCGAAACGTTGAAATAATTGATTTTAATTTAATTACAAAGTTTTTCAATAAAATGAAAATTACTGCTGTTGTTTTATTATGCTTAATGAAATTTTTTGCCTATTCGTAAAGATAATGTCTACAAGTTTAAACAGATTCTGAAACGAAGTGCGAAGCATTTCTGACAATTCTAGACAACTGGCACTCAAAATCATCTCGGTCGCTTTCTTACAGAGATCATTTGCGTCTTTTCGAGGAATAATATACTGTTTTTATGATAAATTAGTAAGAAAGTGCAAATTAAAACATGCAAAAAATATTTGGTCCCTTCCTTCGAAAAATCTTGGCTTTGCCATTAATCCACAGCGATGTAAAAATTGTGTTCTTTTCCAGGAATATTCGTAGATGATCGATACTACCCATTGTGGCAAATGTTTAAAGAAATGTATCATTTTTTTAAAATTTAGTTTCCTAACATATTTATAATCATTTTGGATATACAAGACATTTGGAGAAATGTTTTTAAAAAGCTCAATTCAATTCATATTAAAAAGAAATTTATTTATCTTATTTATTTTAGAAATATACTTAAGTATTTTTCATATTCGAAATCTCTTCAAAATGCATTTTTACAATAAATATGTTTAACAAGGTTGCCACAGCTGGTGACTCATGGGGGACTGAACAAAGAAATCATCATGGTGATCCTTTGTTCCGTCACCAGTTTTGGCAACTCTGATATTTAAATACATTATTATTATTAATTCGTTTGAATGCATTTTTAGGCGAAGTATCTAGTAAAATCTATTCAAATTTCTTTATTACTAAATAAATTTAAACAACTTTTAGAATAAATAACCTGTGAACTAATTTATTTTAAAAATGTATTCAACCCTTTACCAGGGTTGTCAGAACTGGTGACTCATGACGGACGGAGCAAAGGATCACCATGACGATTTCTTTGTTCCGTCTCTGATGAGTCACCAGTTCTGGCAACCCTGCCCTTTACCTACCCAAGGATCACCTACGATCCATTTGTAGAATTGTTATAGAAAAATAATGAACCATGTGATAAAAAATGGATTGGTTTTGAGAGCAAAATAGGTCCCTAAGCTATCGATTGATAAAAAAAGATTTTCTTTTCCATTAATTTTTGATGAAAACATTCAATTACAAAATAAAATATTTTGTAAAAAAATTTTCTCAGTTTTTATTTTTTATTGTTATAAACTTTATTTAATAAAAGAAATATTGAAAAAAATCAGTACAATTATGATTAGAAGGAGGCGAACCCATTACAACTTAACATAAATTGACTGGGGACAGAGGACAACACAAGAATACATATATAGAAATGATGCACGACGACAACATAAAGAAGAGAGAGTAACGATAACAATAGGATTAAAAAAAAAGGAGACTAAGTGATGAACAAAGGGGAGAAAAGGATATCATGAGATTAGAATCTTTTTGTCGTGAATAAATGTAATTACGATATTATATAGTTCATTCATTTCTGTTACGTTTAAAGATGTTGCAAGTTTTAGAAAGAGAATGTGTTCAAGAGTAAGGGTATTATTTATTCGAGAAGCAAAATAAGTTCATAAGCTATCAATTGATAAAAAAAGATTTTCTTTTCCATTAATTTTTGATGAAAACATTTCAATCACAAAATAAAAAATTTTGCAAAAAAAAAATGTTCTCAGTTTTTACTTTTTATTCGGAAACATGTTATTGTCGGTTAATGTTTAAT